AATCCCGTTCGTGTTAAGTGGGGCGCAACAAACTCTCCATTCAGCTGCCAAATACACTTTCCAATGGGTTTGAATCCCCTTCATGCTAAGTGGAGCGTGTGAAACTCTCCACTGACCCAGCGTATAAAACTGTTACATCTGTGAATGGGTTTGAATCCCGTTCAATTTAAGCGGAGCGTGTGAAACGCTTCAATTAGCTGGCAAATGCATTGTCGAAAGGGTTTGAATCCCGTTCATGTCAAGTGGAACGAAGGAAACTCCCAACTGACGCAGCTGAAAATTAAATCTTCGAATGGGTTTGAATCCCGTTCATGTTAAGTGGAGCGTGCGAAACTCTCCATTCAGCTGGCGAATGCTTTTTCGAATGGGTTTGAATCCCGTTCATGTTAAGTAGAGCGTGTGAAACTCTCCCCTGACCCAGCTGAAAATTACATTTTCGAATGGGTTTAAATCCCGTTCAATTTAAGTGGAGCGTGTGAAACTCTTGTCAGAGCTGGCGGATGCGCATTTTTGAATATATATATGATTCTACAATTTGATAACTGATTATATTCTCACCCTCCTGAAAGTTTTCAACTCACCCTCAGCATCCTTCCATGTAGTATCCAGTCCTGATCCTTCATCAATCTTGGAGCGAATGCAACTCCCCACTGACGCAGCTGAAAATTACGTCTTCGAATGGGTTTGAATCCCGTTCATGTTAAGTGGAGTGCACCAAACTCTCCATTCAGCTGCCAAATACATTTACGAATGGGTTTGAATCCCCTTCATGTTTAGTGGAGCGTGTGAAACTCTCCACTGACCCAGCGTATAAAACTGTTACATCTTTGAATGGGTTTGAATCCCGTTCAATTTAAGTGGAGCGTGTGAAACTCTTCAATTAGCTGGCAAATGCATTGTCGAAAGGGTTTGAATCCCGTTCATGTCCAGTGGAGCGCATAAAACTCCCCACTGACTCAACTGAAAATTACATCTTCGAATGGGTTTAAATCCCGTTCGTGTTAAGTGAAGCGTGCGAAACTCTCCATTCAGCTGGCGAATGCTTTTTCGAATGGGTTTGAATCC